GGGATTGCAACCCTCGGTGTTGCTCCCACGCCTCGCTCAGCCAGTGAGCGGGAACCGGTCTGTATGTGGGATCCGAACCCTCGGGCGGGAGCGCCGCCGCGCTTCCCAAGCGGCGCACTTATCCAGTGTGCCACTGGGCCGGCCCCAAATGCATTTTTAAATGAGTTAAAGTCTGAATAAATTTTCATTCTTCTGACATCTAGAACATACACAGAAGAATAAAGGTTGTTATGACTTATCTTAATGCATGTTTTCTTTCAGACAGTGAATTAGGATCAGGTTTATTTCTTATGAGGATATAAACTGGTGACTTAAATTCCAGATACGTGTAGGTTTTGGAGAAGAAGCTGACTGGGAAGAAAAGGAAAGGAATACTTACGAGATGGCAGATTTTGTTTGGTGAATTGGGGGAATTGAGATCTGTATCAAATAAGATTTCCTGGTGAACTTATAGGAAAAACTTCCTGGAGTGCTCCTACATTATAATTTAGATTATATCAGTCTAAAAAGTGTTCATAATTATACTTATTCATCTGTTACATCAGATTTCTGCATGGTCACGTTGAAGTTTTTTTTTATTCCTGTATACTCACACATGTATGTGCGTACCAGAAACAGTGTGCCCATTGTCATCCAGGAAGGAATAGTAAAGTCTTATGATTTACATCTACCCACCTTCATTATTTTGTGTATAAAATGATTTCTCATTTTGTTAGTAGTAATTATGGGCTATTTTGCTTCACCTTTTTATAGTCTAAAATTCCACATTTCCCTCACAGCTTATGTATAATACTAATGTTCTCTTAAATTTTATAGGAACAACTAGATATATTTTGAAACTTATAAAATAGACATATTTAACTAAATCTTTAATTAATTGCTTGTGATGATAGCTGGAGATTAATAATCATAAGAGCCTTTGAGGAATAGCAATGAAATGTGGATAAGGGGTGGTCTTGACTCTGGCAAGCCTGAAACATCTTCCCCAGTGGCTGCATACTCCACCAGTTCTGGGGGCAACTGGATAGACTGATGTGATCAGTGTGGGGAGGAGAGGAGTTTTTTGGATTCTTTACAGACATTTGAAAATACAGTTTTATGTCTACTTAAAAAATATTTTTATAAGTATATAAACATTATATAAATAAAAATGAGATAAATAATATATAATATAAAATTTTAAAGATTGTTATAAATTACCATTTAACAAGTAACATTTATACCAATGAACTTGATGTTTTTTTCCCTTCAGGGGGTTAATGGTTAATTTAGTTAATAAAAGAGTAATTTTATCAACTAAATTTAGTAATTTAGGAGATAAACCATATATTATGTTCAAGATATAAAGCAGTAAAGAGTCAAATGAATATTATTTACAAATTCAAAAGAAATTTTGGAGGAGGAAATTTCAATTTACAGGGTTAGGGAATGTTTTAGAAAAAGTAAAGAAGGACTAATGGTAGGATTTATAGACTGAGGGAATAAAATTAATAAGTGGGTGGAATATTGAAATTGAAGGCATGATTAGAAGATATTGAGGACTGGCTAGTTAGCTCAGTTGGTTACAGCTCAGCCCTGTATCACCAAGGTCACGGGTTCAGATCTCTGAACCAACCGGCCACCAAAAAACAAACAAAACAACAACAAAACAAAACAAAAAAGATATTGAGTAAAAAGACATTGACAAAAATATCCATTAAGAGTTATGATTGGATTGTGTAATGATTATGAAATGAATCTCAAGAGTTAGTGATTAGGCATGTAAGGAAGCAGAAAGACTTGGAAGGTTTTGAATAGAAAGTACTATGGAATTAGTATCTCAGTGGATATAGGATGAATTGTAGGGGAAAAGATGAGGCAGGAAGACTGTTGTAGAACCCA